AGTCTGAGGGCTAGTAATTTGTATGCAACCTGCGCCATCTGGCAAGTGTTCTTTGGCACTCTTCTTGTGGTCACAGGCCAAACACAACCAGCAGACAAGTTCTAGTTGCTGCAATCATTTCCTATTTCTGTAATAATGTTGCCGGGGTGACAGCATCTGGTGGAAGGGAGACATATTTATACATTTATGTATACTTTTTCCTCTAAAATTGTAAAATACAACTGAAGAGTTGTGACAGTTTCAGGGAGGGGGAGAAGAGTAGAGAAAGAATATCTTCACAGAGTGATTCCCCTGTAACTGAATGGCAGAAAGGAGCTAAGGGGTTTTACTCCTCTCCCACCAGGAGTTTACACAAGGATGGTGGAAGAAATAGCATAAGCTCAAGCTGGAAGGCCATCTAGGCAGGGACCTTTATCACTAGGAGGTTTTCGCTGCAAAATAAACTAGAATGTGAATTTATAGGTAAAAAGCTGCTCCACACTGCTTGCCCTTGCAAGAAACCCTACTCTGCACTTGGTCTGCAAATGATGTTTGAAATGCAGATCTTTTTGTAACGCAGAAAACCTCAGGCTAGCTAGTCACCAGACAGCAGTCTGATAATGACAGCGTGTAACAGCTAACTTACCCTCCTAACAGTACCTGAGTAGCACAGTTACACCTAATGTTGGTCTCTTACACAGCACTGCACTAACATATACCGTAAGTATCTTTCTGTGATTCATCTTAATCCCCTCCAAAACTGAAATCAGACAACAGGAGGAATTGCTAACTCATTTCATTTTCAGCCTTTTCTCAAATTAGTAAGCAGCATAGCTTTAATTCATGGTATAGCCTAAGAGTTTAAGTATATTCTATAGCCTTCAATAATCAATTACAGCCCACTTCATTTCTTTGCCTATACTTACATGGGATAATCAATCTGATGTTGCCTGACTGTCTCAAGTTCTCTGTTCTCAAATTGTTCAAATTTCTTCACGATTCCTGTTTTCTCTCCGCTGGAAGCGTATATGAAGTTGAGAATCTGGACATCATCTGCAAAAGACAATCTTTCTTAATCTGCCAGAGAACAAGCATTAATAATTAGTTAATTAGTTCACACTTGTACAGTCAAACATTTGAATCACACAACAGATTAAAAATTAACACAAACCTTCAGTAATTCCATAAATACAAGTTTGCTCACTGTTATTAAACACATTACAATCTTGGACCAAATAACTCACAGGAAAGTGAAATGGAGTCCACTTCCAGCTGGTATTAAAAGCAGGGAAAGAACAGACTAATTTAAATCTAAGATACTTAAAGGACCAGTTAGTAACGAAGAAATCTTCATTTATGTTATTTGTTTAAATCTCACACTATCTTTGGTTATGCCTATATGAGATTACTCCACAGCTCCTGGACTTGCTCTCCATTCTCAGCTCTCTAGTTTATATTGTATGTATGAATAGATAACAATTCTGTTCTTAACTGATATGCATAATCCTGTAATAAATCTGATAATGCTGTCCCTGCTAAGAAACAAGAAAAAGATCTTCAAGGCCATTATGTATCGTCAGCTTTCCTAGGAAAACCCCCAAAACAACAACAAAACCCCTCAAAATCCAAGCAATTTGTTACAAGCTTATTTTAATAAATCTGAATAAAATGTTATTTCCTCCTATTTCTTGTTAGAGTGTTTTCATCTATAATATAATTAGATAATACATAAGATGTTTCACACTGTTGTCAGAGATCACATGCTCTGTCTCCAGAAAGCCCCTAAAGGCAGCAATATCATTGCTTCCCTGTTTGTTCCAGTGCATTTACGTGCCAATGTAGTGAAAACAAATGACACAAATACCATTATGGGATTTTCAGGAAGAGAATCCTTTAGAAGCAAATAACCTTTTTGCTTTTAGGTTCTCCTTTGAACATACATTGAGGACAAAAAGAATTGTCAGAAGGTCTAAAGCTAGAGATAGGCAGACAGAAAAAAACCCCAGAACTCTTAAGAAAATCTAGAAAGCAGAGTTGTGAGTTTCAGTAATTTATACAGTTGGGCAAGACACTTTTTTATTTTAAACTATTAATTTTAAAAAAAAAAAAGTGATTGTCCATAATGGTTTCTGAGTGCGTGGCCATCATCTTAAGCAGAAGTAAACCACTTGTGCCAGAATTATGTAAGAACTGCAGGACTCACTCTGAAATAATGCAATAAGGGACTGAACAACTCTGAAGAGAAAGGCATGATGTCCACTGACATCAGTGGGTTTTAAATGAAGTTGTTTGAACACACTTAAAAAATAGAAGGCTTTGCTGCTACAAATCTCCAGGCTGGCTGTGACGAAACAAGACAGCTCTGAAGGACATGATGACTTCAGTCATTTGCAACTCTAACCCCACAGTTATGAAGCTTACATATTCAACAATGTTGGCCAAGTAAATCATTCTACATAACATTTAATATTTACTACAGTTATGCACTTTCTAACAGCTCACCAAAGGTCTTATTTGGGTCCCATTAGCTTCCTTGGGGGAAAAAAGTGACATTACACCTACCACTTTCATGAGGACACTGAGGTATCCTGTTTGCCTGGAGCATCCACAAATAGTCGGCACCCCACTGAAGACAAACTTTGTGGTCCTTATACGGGCGTTCAAAAGGTGGAACTGCTTCTAAAAAGGTGTAATTCTTGGCAATTGCATCCTGGTAGTCTTCATTTTGCTCAACATCATAGCTGCTAACTGATTTGTGACTAATCCATGCATATAATATCACACTGTGCACTATTATTGAGTTTCTGATGATATAATCATCTCTGTAAACCATGATGCTTGGAAATTTTAAATGTACTTGTCGGGTTCTGCTAACGTAAAGGTTTTTCTCATCCTTCCATCTCCTTCTATATACTGGTACACCAGTCCTGAATTCGGAGGAAGCTACTGCTTCCAAGTTGACAATACAAGGCTTAGAACATAAATACCGAACTGAAACCTCAGAATTGTTAAGAACTTTCTTTTCTAAAATGTTTAAATGAATGAAGTCCATGTAATCCATGTTTTGTTCAAACTGTGGATTAACTGCTGTTGTCCGTAATGTCTCCTTTCCAAAGGATGGCACCAAAATCTGGAAAAAAAAAAAAACAAACCACAGAACACATTAACCAGAGAATCTAAGTTTACACAATTACTAATATACTCACAGCAGCAACAGAATACTGCACAAGCAGGCTTATATACCATACTCGAACTCCAAAATACCAGGATTCTTTCACACAGCAAGCAGATGTGGATTACTGAATAGCGACCATCAAGGTTGTAATGGTAACAACTCCCCTACATCAAGTTCTCAAAGTTACATACACGTCTACAAACAAACTGTGTTTACAGGGTGTATCCTTCGGCCCTTCCCCAAGTGAAATCTGGTCTAAGATACTGACTTACACGTCATGCTATTTACACACGCTCCTAGGATCAGGCCTAGAGAGCATATACTAAAATGTACTGGCATTTATTCATCGCATTGTTGTTCACTTGTGCTGCAACAACCTGATGTTTCTGTATCTTTTTAAAGTTAGTTAATTTTATTACCTCTTATGCAGGTACCTGAATAGCAGAATAACAACAAAGGCAGCTCACAGTGGTTTCCAGAGAATTAATAAAATGTTCAGGAGCTTATTACAGAATTACATTCATAAAATGTTTAGGAGCTTATTACAGAAACATTCCTGTCCTGAAGATGGACTTACAAATCTGAGCAGCAAGACCAGCAGGCCACATTTGCTCAGTTTTTGGTCTCTACAGCTATGTACATTATAACATATTCTGAGAGTGAGTGCTTGGACATACACCATTATTATCCTCCATGCTGAGGTTCTTGTCTCTAAGGCTTCAAACAGCTTTTTTTCTTCCTGGTCTGCAGTCAGCGTCCGGCTTGATGTACTGCCAAGGATACTGAGGATTACTCAGCTCAGAGGGCCAGCCACCAGCACACCACTTCTGCCAGGTCCCCTGATCCATCTAAAATATTCAGAATTGTCACTTCAGATTACCATGGAAGCTGGTTGTTAAGATTGCTTAGATTGAGAAGATCTGTCTTGGATGGCTTTTAGCTTTGCTAAGCTTAAACAAATCGAACTGAAATTTATCTTGGATATCTACCTTGGATTAACGGCTTTTTCACTGTGATTCTCAAAATATTTAAAAGCTTCATCCAAGTTGTTAGTACATTTCTAATTATCAGAATTATGTGTCACACACCTGGAGGACAAGACCTTGCCCATGATCCAATATAGGAATCAGTAAATGCATAAGGCTAGCTTCAGCCATGCTTTCCCTTTACTGCCTTTCCCTTAGTACCTGTTCTGCAAAATGGCTCCCAGAGTTACTCAAGAAACTTTTCTTTGTATTCTTTGGTGCCTGGGTATTAGTTGAGACATATGCTGCAAAAATGAAGGAAGCACATTTGGGTCTGCTAGCCTCCTTCAGGAGGCTCATCCAGGAAGGAGCACAGTGCAAAGACCCCTGAGTGACCCAGCACTGATGCAGCTGTGGCAGAGACTGGTGACAGTAAAGTCTTCCAGACCACAGATGAGCCTGTTACCACCTGGTTGCCTCTACACAGTGGTCTCCAGTGCACTGGATAGTGTGTGTATTATCTAAATGTTCCTGCTCGGTGAAGAACCCTAGTTCTTCCCTCCCCAGACAAGGCAGAGTTAATTGTGCATAATCTCTGACTACAAAGTAGAGCGAGGATGAAAGGATTACACAATGAGTGTGATTATGAGATTTAAATATAAAAGTTTCCCAGTATAGTAAAGAGGCCAGCTATGCCAGATTCCAAAAAGTTACCATAAACTAGGCAGAGTTCAACAAAAAAGATGTAGAGGCTTCGTTGTGTGGGGCAACTTAGCTACAAAAGCTGGAAAAGGTTTTTTTCTTGATCTTTTTCTTAAAACCTGCTGAATCTGAAGGAGTTATTCCAAGTCATCCCATGAGATGTTGGGATAAAAATCACCATGGGAGGCATCACAATAGGTAGGAAAGTGAAATTTTTCAGTAGTGCAGTATTACAGAAATGATAAGAAACCGTTCTTTCACTTACTGGAAAAAGATCTCAGCAGGACCCTCCCTGAGGTCACCCCTGCAGAAATTCCACATAACCCTGTGAAAGTGCACCTGTTTGCACAAAGCCCAAAGATAACCATAGTCCTTTACCTGTCAACGCTTGCCACGTCATGCTAGATTTTAAGATGTGTGAGAAGGAGACACTCCAAAATGGGTGCTGATCTGCTCCCAATCACCATCAGTATCGTACAGGCACACAAAGACATTAACTGGAGTTTGTGTTTAGCAGCATACAAAAGTAGTTCAATCAATGCCCCTAAAAAGCAGTTGTTTCCATAAGCCAGTGCAGCGCCACACTCACACATGTGCGTGTAAGCGGATGCCGAAGGCACCCCCCTTTCTTTCAAACCCAGAGACTTAACGTCAGCTAGCACAGAACGCTCTTTAACAGGCTGATTTAACAACCTGACATTCTCTACCTCGAGAAGGCAGTGTAACCCTGGGGGCTTGGAGAGGGGGCAGCCAGGGAAGGCCGGACAACCACCGGGCTGGCTCCGAGAGGGGGCCCCGGGCTCGACCAGGCGGGTGGAGGCAGCCCGGCCAGAACCCGAACCCGAGCCCGAACCCAAACCCAAACCCAGACCCGGCGGCCGCAGTCCCCCGCGCACCCCACGG